TAGAAGTTCGAACTTCTGCAAGGTGCAGATTTGGATGGATGATTCTCTCTCATGGTTTTTGAATGAAAGTGACAAGTGCATTTTTTACAAACTTAAGAACGACACTTGCACTATAAAAGACATGTTGATCTTTGTTGCAAAGACTCATGACACGAATAAATGTGAAAAACCATGTTGAGTGAGAACCTTGATAAGAAGGATCCAAGTGTTATGCTTAGAGATCCAAATGACTAGTACAGTGAAATATATTTTTTATAGATCAATGTAACTGTCTGGTTAAGATCAATAAGAAATACAAGTTGTACACTTGCCTAAATGTTTGAAGATGCTAGTACGATTTTTAAAAGAGCACCAAAGTCGGTGTAAGAAAGTACGAACATACTAGCATTGACAGTCTGCAAGAGGCAGCTGATAAACATAAGACCCGACATAGTGGGGGTACTTGGCAGGTCTACAAATTGTCCTATTATGAAGCATTGAAGTGCTATTGAAAGGGGTCATGAGACACCTTAAGAGAACAGTAGACCTTGATATAAGTTATCAATGGTTTCTTGCTGTATTGGTAGGGTATATTGATGCGGACGAGAATACCCTATAGAGGACTCCAAGACATCCAGTGGGCATGTTTTAAACATCGCTGGAAGAGTTGTGTATTGGAAGTTTAAGAAGTAAATGATTCTGGCTCAATCACCTAAGAAATCAAAAATGATAGAGCTAGCAATGGCTAGTAAAGGAAAGAGTTGATTGAGAGGGTCATTACAATAGATTCCCTTATGGGAAAGACCGATCCCTCCGGTAGTTGATTCATTGTGATAGCACCACAGCTATTACTAAAGAAGGGAACCGGTTCTATAATGAAAAAGACGACAAATTCGTAAGCACAGTACTGTAAGAGAACTCCTAACGATAGGAGCAATGAGGGTGGATCATGTAGGTCCTAACAGAATCTAGCTGATCCTTTGACGAAAGGATTTTCTAGAGAGAAAGTCCAAAAATACCGCCAAGGGTATGGGACTTATGCCTACCGAACCACGGACTACAAGTGATGGTAACCCGAACCGATAGACTGAAGATCCCAAGAAATGGGTAATAACAAGTCATGAGTAGTATGCGAAAAGTTCATGCATAGTGAAGCATGAATCCCAAAGCAATGGAGGTTGAGTTAACAACTCTTAATGAGATCTATACCCTATGTGGGCGGGAGTACTTTACTTTGGGGGTACTCCAGATAGACCACCTATGTGAATGTGGGAGTGGGGCTGCTCCCTATGGAACTTTGGAGGCACAAAGTTGCTAGAGCGTTCACTAAACCGGGATAACGTGCATGGCCATAAACACACGACCTATGAGAGAATATCACTCAATGAAAAGATCCGGTGTGCTACATTGTCTGAGATAGGGTTTAAGACTCCGAGTCACCCTGATGAAATCAGAAGTGTAACCACTACGCTAAGGTTCAAATCTTCGCGATACCTTAGCTTATGCCCGATCTTATGGAACTATTGATGCTCAAGATAGTTTCAAAACTATTCAAGTTGGGGATTGTTGGGATGAATAGCTTTGAAAAGCTATAAATGAAATTTCTAATTAATTATCCAGTATTTTCCCATAATACAAAAGTAAGATGGATAATTAATAAAATGAATATTATGCTGATAATTTGGATTAATTATCTTAATAGATTATATTTTAATTATGGGTGTAATTATCTCCCGAATTAAAATGTGACTTATTCCCAAAGAAAGAGGGAATATTATGGGTTTTCTGCTCCTATAAATAGCACACACCCCAGACCCTCTAAACACACCTCAGAAGAGCAGAAACACGAAAGAGAGTGAATTCATAGAGCTCCGGTTTTCACACAAAACTGATGAGCAACAAATCAGAGTGACTGTTTTATCATGGAGGCGACCGACTGGTAGTCTGATGTGCACAATACGAGGCAGTGCCGCGAACGTCTTAAAGAGAGCGACATAGTCCGCGACTCAGCCAGATTCGATAACTCTACGTTTCTGTTCGGTTTCTAACAATATCCAACTTGCTCATCCTCTGTGTGAAATGGAATGGGACTGCTCAGAGCCGTCCAATAGAAAATGAAGGTCATCCTCTTGTGGTTCAAAATATATTTTAAGTATAATAAAAAGAAAAAAAATCACCATAGTTATTTAAAAATTAGTATCTTTCAAATTTGTTCGGAAAACATTATCAGTGAAATCTCTAATATTCATATTCTCCACGAGTTTTTTTGAGAACATCATTTTTAATTGTTGTCATAGCTAATTCATCAATGCTTCTTCTTTCATTTGTTAAGAGAAACGAGACTTTCATCATACAAGTAAAACTTTAAAAAACACAAGTTAACTAGCTTTTTAACCCGCCCTTTGGCCAGAGAGATTTATTTTATAATTTATATGAATTAACTTATTTATATGTTTAAATAATTTTGGATCTTCTATTATGTTATTGATTCATAATAGAGTTTGTAGTATGTTTATATTGAAAATTTCCAATATTTAGCACACTCACTTGTGATGCTTTGGTTTTCTAATCATAAATTATGTCGTTGTCACGTCCCATTTAGAACTTATATCAAAATTTGTAATCAAAACACTAATATTTAGTGTAGCGTCAACCTGAACCGCACACACACACACATATAGTTCAAGATAGTGTGCACAATACTCTTGCATTCACACTACCATACGACCATTGAGTTTTACTATTTAGATCCCTAATTAACCGGAGTTTTGGGGCATGATACTATACCCTAACCTCTAATAGGTGAACTCTAGTCCCTAATTCTCTAACCTGTAATTTATGCACATACTTCGTCATACCTATCTTCTATCGTATTTTGAGTAAAAATCAAAAGTATAGCGTACGACTGACGTATGCTAGATACTGTGTACCGAGACATGCATTGAATGATAAGTGTGAAGTGAAGATTGGAAGTGAAGGATTCATAGTCGACCTTAATACACGTGAGTGCACGTGTGGGTATTGGCAACTGAGTGGCTTGCCATGCTGTCATGCTGTCTTTGCCATCAGTCACTTAAGGAAAGAGCCAGCTGATTATGTGCATCCGGTGCACCATGCATATCATGTTTCTTTTGCATACAAGGTTGGCATTCCTTGTGTTGATGGTCGACAGGCTTGGCCCGAAGCTTCGGGATTTGATGTATACCCGCCCAAGCAGAGGGCAATGCCAGGGAGACCCAAAAAGAATAGAAGAAAGGCTGTTGTGGAGTTAGAAACAAGAGCTCAAAGAGGAGGCATTGGTGAGGAAGTTACTAGGAGAGGTTCATTGATCCGGTGCACTAAATGTCAAGGTGAAGGACACAATGCACGAGCATATCCAGTTTCTGTTTCTGCTCAGCCGGCAGTGGTAAGTTTACTACTCACATCATAAACTAAGTATGTTAGGATACTAAGTAAGTTCACTACTGACTATGGCTACTTTACTAATGATCTGGGGTTGGCTTGCAAGGGACAAAATGCGCGGCAAAGGGGTAAACGACCTGCAGTCCAGCAGCAAGATACCAATGAAAGGCAAAAAAGAACCAATCACTGCTCCAAGTGTGGGCAACCTACTCATAATGCAAGGACTTGTCCTCTGAATAGAGGTGTAGGGATACAAGTACGTGCTTGATTGAAAGTGAATGAATGTTAAATTGATTATGAGATTATAGGTTGTCAATTGAGTTTTGTGGTTATTTCATGATGTGATATTGAATGTGGAAGATAGAGTAACGGTTGAAAGGGAGCTACGCCAAGCAATAACTGGGGTTGGTGTTTATGTAGACGAGAATACTGGAAACCAGTATGTTAGGGTGAGTGAAAATTTGTTTGATTGTGATTTGCAGTTAAATGTTAATGGGTTGTCTCTTTATTTACTGATATGTGGTATGCAATTGCAGCTTAATGGAAATCGTGGGAGACAGTTTGGAGAAGGTCCTTCGGAGCCCATGCTAGTAACTCAACCTTCAGTGGGGGATTTGCAAGGAAGTCATCCGCCACAAACACAACCTTAAATGTTGAATGTAATCTCGTGAGTCGCATATTTTTTTAGCCGAGGAAGTAGCTACTAACTGACATCCCCTATGGCTTTTTTGGGCGACTCATATGTAAGCTATAAGATCCCAGGATTTTAGGTGTAGTTCAGTAGGACAGTAGGGTATCTTTGTTATGTATTGGAAACATGTCCATCTATTATGTTGTTATGTGTTGAAACTACTCTGAACAAGGTATGTTTGATTGTGAAACAGACATGTATATTATGCTGTTATGTAATGAAACAAGGCTTCATTGACTATGAAGCAAGTTTGGTTAGTTGTGGATGTTTGTTATGTTTTCAAACAGATGCTTGGGTAGAAGAACATCACTTTCAACATTAAACCAACATCGCATTACACAAGCATATATTTCACAAGTCCATACATCAAATACTATCATCTTGCCTCCAAAGAATGACAACGAAGAAGGCATTCACAAACAACAGAAAACTCAGCATATATTTCATTACACGAATTTCATCATGCACTCTACGAGCTTTAGCTAATCTAACTTCATGAACGTGTATCATGTTTCGCAGCTCTTCTGCCATCACGTTTCTTTCCCTCTTTCTCCTCTCTGCCTTGCCCTCGGCCAGCCGTAAACTCTCCTCCAACCTAAGCATCGAACTGTCCATCTCATTACTTCGTGCCTCTGATTCACCCTCATTAGCATCCACCCACCTAAAAAATTTGCAATTTTTTCTTGGTTCCTGCCACACCTCCAATCCCCGGCTAACAACGATATAAAAACAATCCATGTGCAATCGAAATCAGACACTACTCACCATCCAATAAGAACAACCATAAAATTTCCTTCCTGGGTTCCCCTCAGTCCCCGAATTTTTTTTCACTGCTGGTACATTGTGCTTGCAGAGAAATGAATTGGTGCTTGCCGAACCCGAGTCGGCGCCATAGATAACCCCATTCCTCCTCCGAGTCCTCTGTGACATGATTCAGCTGAGAGAGGCGTCGGCAACAAGAGGACTCGAAAGATTGAGTGGTTTGGGGGGGGGGGGGGCGAGACGGTGACAGGGGTTTTAGGAGGAGGCGACGGCGCGGGGGAGGGAGGGGGGGTTGGGGTTTGGGAGTGCGACGGTGCCTGCCTGGTTTAGTGAGTGCGGCGACGCTGGGGGTTTCGGGCGGAAACATAAATGTAGAAGAGAATGGGAATTTGGACGAAGAGAGAGACGACGAAGACGATGGAGTAAATAAGGTGGATTTTTATTTTATTTCTCGAAGTGGCATAATGATCAAGTCCACGTTACCGCTGATATGAGCAAGGTGAGTCTAGTTGGCGATGACATGTCGTCCAGGTGGATGCCATGTAGGTGACACAAGGACGTTACTGACGGCGTGTCTGACGACGTTAAAGTTTTCTACGAAAATGGATAAAGTTGACAACATAGTTTCGAAAAGGTGGCTACATTTGTGAATTTTTCAAAATGTGGCTATTATTGTCACAACCCGAATTTTTTTGGGTATACAAGTGTATTTTGCCTAATAATTATGAAACTATAAGATAAATTATTTTTATTATTTAATTTAATTTAATATTAAATTAATTAATTTAATTTTTAATTAATTTTTAATATGTACGTGGCATCCACATTAGCGAAGCATGCTGATTCACTAACGGTCAACATCGTTGACCGTCTAATTTGACAGAAATTCATGAGTCAGGCCAAATTAGTCTATATGGTGTATAGTTGAGGCTAAGATGACAATTTCTCAAACCACGGGTCAAAGTTGATTATATGTGTATAATTCGGACCAAAATAAGGTATTAACCCTAAAATTAAATCCAACATTATAAAGAACGCATGCCAGATGGCAGCCCATACTCGTATTTGGCCTACTTGAATTTCGGGCTCTTATTTCCAACTTCGTGTCCGGGTAAGACAACTGAACCCAACTTGATCGAGCCCAACCCAGCAACCCAGCAACCCAGCTTCAATCGGCCCAATCTAGCCACCTCTACAGCCTTCGTGTCTGGAAAATTAAAACTTGAAAAAATGGCTTGCCCCGTAAGTAAGAGCATTTTCGAGTCACGATAGTTGTAAATTACTAGCAGGTTCTGAAGCACCGAGAAGAAACCTAGAGGCAAGAACAAACAAGAAGCGAATCACAGCGCCGATAATGGAAGAAGCACCCAAGACATTAGCTCACCAAATCGGAGGGATCCAGAACGATGCACTTCGCTTCGGCCTCCACGGAGTTAAGAGCGACCTCGTCGGATCTCACCCTCTCGAAGCTGCCCACCGATCTGTAACTATCTCGCCCCCTTCACTATATTCACCGGCTTTTCTTTCTCTGCTTGGTTCTCGACAAAATTTTGGTGGAGAAATACCCTCCGATGGCTATTAGCTTCAATCTCTGTTAATAATAATTGGAGAAAAAGCATTCCGGATTGCAATCTTTTTTTTTTTTTTAATAATGATTCCGGATTGCAATCTTTCTTCCCCGGTCATCAGACGTAGACGATATCTAGGGTTTTCATGTATGGGCTACCTGGCACTTTGATTGTCGAGTATCAGGAGATGCAGATTTAGGATACTTGAAAAAATTACATGGCTATGGACTATGGTGGCCAAAAAGTTGTAAGACTGTTTTCTTTATGTACTTGATGATTGGGTTTTCTGTTTATGTTTTTAGCTGGAAGTTGTATCTACTGAGGGTTTGGATTCTGGTTATGATCTTTGTTTTAACCTGGTTTGCAGATAATTAAGAATCAAGAAGACATGAAGAGGAAAGTCCTTGCAAACACTTATGGATCTGCCTTTCCTTTAAAGATGGACCTGGATAGGCAAATTCTTTCTCGGTATGTTTACTGTTTCCTTATGCTAAATCGCTCCTCGCTCTTATTTCATGATCTCAGCACACGGGACAGATATTGTTTCTGGAAAGTAATTTGTTGGTCATGACATGGATGTTGGGAGAAGTCCCCTTTACTGATAGGCTGGTAGTATACTGTCGCCTTCGTCCATGTCCTATATCATGAGCTATTGCAGCAATAGTTGTTCTTCCAGTTTTGGTTGTGTGGAATATGGCTTAGTTGGCATATGGCATGACACTTTAGGTAATGGAGCAGGAATACATGGATCATGCAGTTCAAAAGCAATGCAATGCAGCTCATCTCCTTTTCTGCAAGAACCTCTATTATTAGTATCATTGGATGAGTAGAATTGTGATATCTGGTGAACATTATCCTTTCATTTGAAATCTGCTACAATAGTATATAATCTGCAGTAAGTGATAGAGTACATCTCCTTTCTCATGGGAACAAACAACTTCAGTCTCTTTGAGTAGATAATAAGAGTACTCGAATTCACGGCTCTAGAGGTAGTTTATTACAAGCAAGATTGCTTAGTCTTGTTCTTGGATTGTTCAAATAGCTATCAGGAATATCTAACTGTTCCCTGAACTGATCGAGTATGAGACACTTGGAACAGTTAGGTGTGACATGGGACATGTCGGCATTTCATTTGTTCACCATTTGTGTAGTTTTGTCTCGGCCACAGCAACTTTAGTGTTTTGTTACTTATTTCAAACACTTCGTTGCGGGGGCCAAGATGCATTCTTTCTTTCTTTCATCTTGGAACCTTCGGTACTGCTTTATGGAATGACCATCTTCCATCATGGGTCATCTAAAAATGCTGTTATTGAGTTCTTTTTGGTCCTGACTGAGACTTTCAGGAGTTACAGAAACATTACTTGACATATTTCACTATGTTGGAGCTCGGGGTTATGATTGCTATTAACTAGTGCTTAAGCAACTGGGAATTGGCTCAGTGATGGTATTATTTCTGGGTGGTTAAGTTTGGATGACAATGCATATTGATTATTTCAGTCAAGGTGCATCTCGGACTGTATCTAAGGAATCTCTATCTTGTGATTTTGAGAAAAAAGTATATAACATTTCATTCCCTGGAGTCTCTTTAGATCCTGTCCAATATGGTCATTGCCATAGATATTTGTGATATGCTAGAAATGACCATATCATTGTTGCGCCATTGACTGGATAAGTTTATGATTGTCTGTATGTCCTCTTTTCTTTCACTTTTCAATCCAATCTTTGTCCTCATCTTTCTGAACTTGGAATTATCACCACAGAGTAAGAAATACCATGAGTTGGTAGGTGGTTTGTACTGGTTTCTTGTCAGGAGTGGTAATGGGTCAAAGGAGGGTTGGTTTTCTTAACTTCATATTTTCTCATTCATATTTCCACAAAATGTCTGCAGATTTCAGAGACCTCCTGGACCTATTCCTTCTTCAATGGTTGGTTTGGAAGCCATGACAGGAAGCTTGGATGACTTTGGTTTTGAAGATTATCTGAATGGTAAAGTCAATTTGATGAACCCCTTGTAATTAATTATATCTGTGTTTTTTTTTACGTGAAAGTACTTTAATGTTCTCTCTCACAGTCTCACACTCACACACACACGTGTGGTTTTGCAAACTTGTTATTTGTCATAAGCCCCAAAGTAATCTAGATAGTTTTATGAGGTTATAAGTTGTTCATCTGACAATGTATGTGGGTTCTTGTTTGCTGCAGATCCTCGTGAATCCGAAGTTTATCGCCCTCAGGACATGCATCACGGAATGGAGGTTCGCCTGGGGATCTCTAGAGGACCAGTTTGCCCAAGTTTCGTTTAGTTTCAAGCGTGTTTTTACCATGTTAGCAGTACTGGGAATGGAACATGCAATTGTGGAACAAATGTAATACACCTTATTGTTGGGATCTGAATGTTTAATTGACCTGGAGATGTCCAACACCCGGATCCCTCTGTCCTTTGCTAGTATTCGTCTGACTATACCATCATCGTCAAGTTCTTATATCTGTTAGTTAATATGGCATGTCTAGTAATGTGCTCTTAGTTTGAACATGCATTTGAAATTCAATTTTGTATTAAGCATATTCCTCTTCTCAAATCTTGATATCCAAACATATTGTCTATGCTCAATCAATATGCAGGGGCAATAACTTTTGTAATGATGATAAGCTCGCTTAAACTGAACAGATAAAAAAGCCAATAAGGTGAAGCAATCTGTAAATGGTTCTGCTCTTTATAGGTGGACAGTTGTTAACAGACATTCATTTCCCGAAGTTTGCTCGTCATATTAACTATTACATATGCACATGAGCTTGGAAAGCAGTTCAGGGTTGTAGCAGTCGACTCTCGCCCCAAACTTGAAGGTCAGTTATTGCTTCGAAAGTCTGTAGGAAAAGGCCTCAACTGTACAGATACTCGTATAAATGCAATCTCGTATACGGATATATCATGCATGAAGTGACTCGAGTTTTCATGGGAGCATCTTCAGTACTTTCCAATGCAGCATTGTATTCAAGAGTTGGAACTCCATGTGTTTGCCATGGTTGCCATAATAAAGGAGCATACAGAGAAACCAGTAACAGTAAGTACCACACTTGATTAATGGGTAAACCATGATAAAGGAGCATGAAAAGGTAATAAATAGGAAAGTTTGCACATCCTTAAATTGCATTTTTGCAGTAAGCCCGAGGAAGAAGGGGCGTCGTTAGCCTCACTTTTCCAGAATATCCCCACAGGTATCAAGTATCGACTGGTTTTCTACAGGGGCATTCTTCTTCCTCTAGTGAAGCCTGTGTGCTATGTGCAGTAGCGAACCTCCAATTACAGGACGATCCATCGCCCTACTCCGTGGCATTCCTGGGGATTTCCCCTTTGCCATGAAGAGGACTAATTGTCGCCAGAACAACAAAGCCACCAAGAACGACAATCAAGACACCCAATGAGTTCACCATCAGAGCTTCAGTTGAATAACGTGATATCACGTTGTTGACTTGAAGGAACGTGGCTTTCTCCAAGAGACCAGTTGTAGCTGTAACAATAGCAAGCGCATATATATAGACTCCAAAGAAGACATGCCACGGCATCAAGGTCGCTCTGCTGCTTCTCGAACCACCTGGATACCAAAAGGTCATGAACCCAGCTGCCCACTGCATTAAAAATGAAATCATTTTTGTTAGTTTGAGTTGGAACCATGGGAGAACATCAAGATGTTTTAAAATCAGAACAGAAGAGGAATGAGGGATGAGAGACCTGAATGATGAAGAGGAAAACACATGCAAGGCCTAACCACGAGTGGAGACTGTAGAAGTTGTCAATGCCCTTATCATTGTGGAACTTCAGTGCTGCCCACACGCCGATCAAGCTGAGAACGAGGGCGACAAACTGCACCGCGAGATGCACGAGTTTCTTCAAGTTTTTTGTTCCTGAGATTGTCTTGTAGGCTAACATGGCTGCAGCAATCCACACAAACAATTCAACACTGAGTTACATAAACTGCCCCGTTCTGGTATCTACAGGATATACAAAATGTGTCCACTAATGAATCTATGGAAATGCTTTAGATATACGTAGCAGAAAGTACTGTTCCCAGTTGAAGAAAGCATTCTGGAAGTTAAAGTGTTTGTAATGACTTTATGTCTGAAGTGAGGCTGAAACTCTTCTGGAAAGCCACACAACTTGCAGCTTCTGCATGTAAGTTTGCCAGTATTGGGAGCTTAAACACGTTAATTATGTTACTTGAGGAAGACTAATTAATTATCATGTTCTCAGGAAGAAGAGGGGTCACAAACCCACTGGTATTCTGACGCATACAGCAAAACAAAATGGGTTTGCATCTGTTTCTGAACTTCTACAAGTGAAAGGGCCTGAAAACTTTGTGTATAATAGGGTGAAAGACAAGGATGCTTCCCCGATGAAAACTGCTTTGAATGTGGTATGGATTTACTTGCTCTGGTTACGATGTTTACAAGGTTTCTAGTTTCTTTTCCTTGTACGCTCATTCATGTCCTTAACAGGAGCCTGAAGTTGGTTCGCCAAGGAAGCCAGGGAAAGAGAATTCTTTGGATGGAATAAGTGATTTGCCCTTGCATTCGCAGAATGAAATCCCTAGTCCCAAGATAATCAAATTCAAGAAAACAAAAAGGGAAGAGCTGAAAGAAGTTAGCAATGGCCATGGTGAAGATGCAGCCAAGATAATCAAATTCAAGAAAACAAAAAGGGAAGAGCTGAAAGAAGTTAGCAATGGCCATGGTGAAGATGCAGCTTCAATGGTTAATATGAAGAAGCCTAGGATAACTGAACAAATGTCCAAAAATGACGATGCTGTTGTTCCAAAAGTCCATGATGATGATATATCAGCTATGGATGTTATTGGGAATGATAACCTTGAAACCATAATGAATCCATCTTCAAAGTCCTGCTGGAAGCAGATAAATGAAGTGGTGCATAATGAGATTCCATTGCCTCGAGGCTCAATTTTAACCAATGTGGCAGGGGTTGACTTGGCCCCTGAAGATGCTGGACAAGTCTTACAATTCCTGGAATTTTGCAATGCTTTTGGCCAGGTATTGGTCTAGAAAGTAGATGTTATGTTTATGATTTGAGTTTTATGTCTGCTGAATGACGAGATAATTGCGCTAATAAGTTTGCACTTAGTAGACAATTGATTATCTTCTGGTTGCTTTATTTATTGTTGCATTTAGAACCTTTGATTTCTTGCCAATTTTGGACAGTTGTACAAATTGTTTCATTGATCTAGTTTGTTCCATTTGGTCTTCATATAAAAGGCTTTTGATCTTAAGAAAGGGCATGCTGAAGCAGCCATTAGGGAAATGGTAAAGGGCCGAAGAGGATGCCGGACACAATCCTCTTTTGTAATCCAGATTCATATCCAGCTGCTGGCTCTGATACAAGAAGATATAGATGAAAGGTGCTAGATCCTACCTTGAAAAAGATATTTTGGTATTGTCTTTACTGTTTTCTGTGACTATATATATCATAATTGTGCCATTTTTTCTAGGTGTCCAACCCTAAGTCCAACAGATGGCCAGAATTCATGGCTGCTATCTCTTGGGGATTTTGTCTCCAAATATCCTTTCATGTCAAAGGATTTCCCTCCTGATCGTTTCAACAAAGGGAATGCCATATACGAGGAGTTGAGCATCTCTGGAAAGCTCAAACTCCTTAATTTTCTGTGTGATGAAACTCTCAACACCATGTAAGCAATTATAAGTTGATGAGTTTGTTATTCTAGATAATTCACCTATAAGATGTCTTGAATTCTCTTCTTTTTAATTGTTTGCTTCTGTAGGGAATTAAGAGACATCATTGATGAGCAAATTTTGGAATTAGACGAAAGTAGGAAGGAAGCCAAGGCAAAAATTCTTGCTGCAAAGGAAAAGGTAATGTTAGATTTGACGTGAATCTTTTCTCTATAAATATAATGCAGACAGTGCTCCTTGGATTATATGGATTTGTTAAATACTTATTGCTTAACTGCAGGAAAAGGAAGTGAAAAAGAAGAAGCAGGATGAGATTGCGAAAGCTGTACTTGCAAAAAATGGGGCTCCTTTGTCTATTTCTGAGCATGAAGCATTAATGTCTCAGATAAAAGAGGAAACTTCTCAAGCTCATGCAGAAATGGAGGAGGCTAAGGCCATGGTGTCTAAGGGTGAGTTAGGAGATCTTGCTTCCAGAGTTATAGTATGATGAATTTGTTTGTTTGATTTTCCTCGACAATGTAGAAGTTAGTACTTGAACCACTCAATGTTCTAGGCTTTGTAGCGTCAGTTAGTTGCATGGATCTAACTGTTAACTTTTAGGCTACACTATTCAATCTAAACCGGTTTTCCTATATTAGGTTACTTGTGTCTGACTAGCTAAAAGTAATTCATTTGGCTGAATCCTCCTGCCATCATATTGTGCATAATGATGACATTTTGGGTACTAATTATTCTCAGTACTTGATCCAATTTCAAGAGACCAACTGCCACGTTTCCTCATGCTGTGTAGTGATTAATACTTCGAGTTTTCCATCCCTTTTTCGGTGCCATGCATGTTGCATGTAGAGGCATGCAAGCATGTCTTCTATATTTGTCTGCCAGCATCAAGTACTAATTTGTCACACCTACTGTTGCTGCCAAAACAAAAAAACAGAATCACAAAGATCTGATGCTGTTAGAAGTGTTCCCCTGCTTTTGGATATCAAGGGTCGTGCATTTTGGAGACTGAAAAGCTACAATAATAGCAAATACATCTTACTCCAAGGTTACATAATCCGGCCTTGTTCGGTGTTTAATAGAACAGAGAACATCTGCACTTAAATTTAAACCTATTTGCTTTCGTTGTGCAGGTATGGGTGATTGGGACTCTGATTCTCCCAGCGAGAAGTGGTTTACCTTTGATGAAGCACAGATACCAGAAGTTGAGAGATACATATCCGTGACTAGGCAAGCCATGTCAATAAAATACGTTTAGCCCACTTCCATAATGTCAGACGTGTTGTTTCAGATTGGATTCAATGTTGCTTTGCTTTGTGGCTGTTATTTGGTTTCAGGTCTAGGAGGAATGTTAAGGTCAGAAAAGGTTATGAACCAGTGCCAGATATGTCAACATGGAGGCAAGCCATGTCAATAAATTCTGCAGCAGCCTTTAATATTTTGAGGGCACTTTGAACACGCTGTTGTATACTGAAAATGGTGAGGCTGGCCAGCACTAGAGGCTAACTACTGCTTCACCTTCATGGACGGATGCAAGTGGATGTAAATGGGCGTCTCTCCCCATCAAGTAGAATCCAGAGTTTCCATTTTTTGGTTTCCTTTTGTTAATGGGGAAAGGGGGTAGAAGTAGAACAGGGGACAGTTGTATTGATGAAGTCATGCATTTGAGGACATGGTTTAGATGGGAGAAGCTTTCCCTTTATGTAGAAATTACCTCAGTTTAAGACGGTGAAACCCTCCATCTATGGTTTGCTGCTCCAGTCTCCTTTTTTGCTTCCCATTTCTAAGCTTCTCTATGTTTGAATCTGTACATTTGTGCTTGGTTTGGTGGTGTGGCAATTAGGGATGGTAATGGGGCGGGTTTGGGGCGGGTTTGCCTAAACCATCCCCATCCCCATCTTCAAATACCCAAATCCATACCCGCCCCATACCCATACGGGGAATGTTTTGCAAACCCATCCCCATACCCGTGGGTTTCGGGTACCCATGGGTAATACCCATCCCCGTACATCCAACATTATTATACCTAAAACTTACAAGAAAAGTTTTAATTATAACCATAAACAAACCTATTATATCACGAAGTCAACAAAACACGGTCATTTTCTAAATACGATTCAAAGAATATGATTCTAAAACATCCATTAATACATAATATAGACTATAATATTTTTTAAATTATTATGCTCTAACTCTTGATACATTTACTAAGTAATAATTAACTAACATAATTTTGTTGACAAGGGGGAAAGTGAAAGAGTGGAAGGAGAATTGAGTGAAATGAATTAGGTTTTGATTAAGGTGGTTACTCAATTGCATTTCTACTATTTATTTTCCCGAGTTATCATCATCATTGATAGATTACAATTTAATCCACGTATTTTTTGATATGTGAAGAAATTCTCTTGGTGGGGCGGGTATGGGTATGGGTATGGGGCGGGGGAGGCTAAAACCATACCCGCCCCATACCCATCAAACCTTTTGCGGGTTTTACCCATACCCGCCCCATACCCGGTCAAAGCGGGGATTCCCCGCGTTGACTGGGTATGGGGCGGTCGGGTACCCGCGGCCATGGGTTTGATTGCCATCCCTAGTGGCAATGGACCTTTACAAGGCCAAAACAGGGTGAGCTTATGGTAGTAAAACGCATCACTTAGGTGTCGTTTCATTATTTTCCGTTAAGAAGATCGAGCGAGGGAAAATTGAGACACGTATAGTTTCAGAAATTGGGATTATCAGAATTGGAAGTTGCTTGAGCTTTGCCACTACAACCTCTCATTTCGTTCTAATCCTGCTGCTCCACTTCAAGAAACTAAGCTTGGAATTGGAGAGGGAGCTCTGAATAATCTGCCGGGGAAAAAAAAATGAAAGCTCTGATAGCAGCATCTCCGGTTGCGGTGGCAAAAGTGGGAACCGTTCCCCGTGTTCCTGTAACTCGTCGTCTCCATGGCGCCCACCGTGGTTACTGCTGCTGCTGCTGCTTCCTCTCTTCGCATCCGAATTCTTCTTCCTCAACACCGTCGACGGCAAGATTGGGTCTCCAGCGAAACGGGCAAACCCTCAGGTTGGTTTTGGTCGCCAAAGCTGCTGATTCCACTCAGCCGACTTCTGCCGCTGCCTCCAAAACCCTTGTTCCTGATGATGGATTCACTCTCGCGAAGGTTAGTTTATTTTTTACGATTTGTCCTTCCTCTTGTCATTTTCCATCGTTGAGTATGGGAAGAAGAATTCGATATGCAAAAACTTTATCTCCGACTTCTATTCATTCGGGTGTTTGGTTGCAGAGCTGGTAGTTTTACTTCTGTTCTTAAGTATGATGTTCTGCGTTTGCCGTTTGGTGGTTTGGTTTTCTGTTGTATTAGAATCTATCACTGCCTTAGCAGCAAGAGTAGAAACTAACACATTCAGCTAAGGTTAGTGAATAATCTATGCAGTGGATCATTTTTTCCCGTTGATAGATGGTGATTCAGAAGTACTATTATGATATAAATCGTTGCGGGGTTGAAAACTTACCCAACAGGGAGAAAAACGAAACTACTCCTTAGCATCCAATCCAAGTACTCTCAGAGATGCAATTGGTTCTGAGCAAACTGTAAAACTAGATATATCACCTAAACCCCAAAAACTTCCCTGGTTCTACATCCTGCAATAAGATTCATTCAATAACATCTATGCAGTGGATCTTTTCTTCAGCATGGAGTTGGTTCTTCTCTTTTCGTATTTAGTCTTCCTCGTGGCCATGTAATTGTTAGTAGCTGCAATGTGATGTAATGTTAACTTAACCGTGGTTTTGTTACCGTTACTTGAACTTTGAAAGCTAATATGAGACATATCATTAAGGATAGCAGATTTTATATTTGCTAGCAAATCAGGCTAAGAAAACCTATAATTGCGACTTCTGAGTCTGTACTAACCTATAGATTCATTGGAACTGAGGAAATGTGACGTAGAGGAACATGAGGGGATCTGAATATATTATATCTTTATCCACATTGAAACTTTTGCTGTGCAGCATTCCTAGTTTATGATAATCAATCTTGTTTGAACTTCGAAAGCTAATATGAGACATCCCATTAAGGATAGCAGATTTTATATTTGCTACCAAATCAGGCTAAGAAAACCTATAACTAAGACTTCTGAGTCTGTACTAACCTATAGATTCATTGGAACCGAGGAAAGGTGACGTAGAACATGATGGGATCTGAATATAAAATATCTTTATCCACATTGAAACTTTTGCTGTGCTGCATTCCTTGTTTATGATAATCAAACTGTTCTTCCATATTTTGCAGATATCATTTGGTGTTATTGGGCTTAGTATTGGCGTTTCACTCTTGTCGTGAGTTCTTTAACACTCTACTGTACTAGTACGTTCTAGGAGGAACACTGATCCTGGACTTCTTTCTGATATACAGATATGGGTTTGGAGCCTATTTCAATATCCTTCCAGGATCTGAATGGTCAGCTTTAATGCTCACTTATGGATTCCCCCTTGCAATAATTGGTATGGCTCTTAAGGTAAAGATTTAATATTAAGACGTAATACATGGCACAGAATGTTTCGTTGATATTCCTCAAGCTGATGTTTAGTCGGTACATTTTCAAACGGGTTATTTAATATGTGCTTTCACTAATATGTGCAGTACGCGGAACTTAAACCAGTCCCATGTTTGTCCTATTCGGATGCTGTTGCATTAAGGGAGACATGTGCCACTCCCATCTTAAAGCAGGTCATTAGCTTTGATTTTTTTTGTTATCAGTAAAATGGTGTAGTCATGGCTTTAACTAAGTGAGAATTCTGAGCATATCCTTGCCATCTTTCTGTTATCATTCGTCACACTCAGATCACAGATCTGGTGCTGTTGATGAACACTATTGTTTTTAGACATGTAATTGTGGCTCGTTTTTTCATGCTAGTCCTCAATCAATTTAGCAACTGCTTAGCACGCATGTTTTGTTAGTCAAATCTCTGAATGACACTTAGTCAATAGCTGCTCAGTGCAGTAGCCAGTAGACTGAATGCATGCTTTACTTTATATTGCATTCTCTAATGAACATATCTTTTTACATTCTCTTCACCATATTAACCGGATACCCCTGGAAAGTGGTTTATAGCAGTTTGTGGGAAACACAATTATTTGCAGTTTTTGGTTATTTCGTATTAGAGTCGGTTTTTATTGATTGGGGTATTATTTGGGTATTTGGGGGAATAGACAGGGAGTTAATTGTTACGTTTTATTATTCGGGTAGCAGTTAGGAATTAGACAGGTTATATAATCTGTAATAGGGTCTTATTTTGGGATTAAGCAATAACAGAACCAAAAACCTAAAGTCTAATTCTCTCTTCTCTCTCTCTCTCCTGCGTATCCTCCCTCCCCCTTTCTTCTCCAAAGCTGCGGCTGCAGCACCCCCTTTTCCCTCTTCTTGTTCTCAAAATCCCCAATTCTAATCCCTAGTTAGATCAATCCCTAATTGATCTAGCCAAATTCCCCAATTCCCAACCTGTAGGAAATCTTGTTTCCTACACAGTTAAAGAAAGAGATTTGTATCAGCATAATTTTTATCTGTTGGCAATTACTTTGAATTACCAGAATGACTTTTAGTTGTTTTGATTAGGTCAGAAATGATGTTATCAGATACAGATATGGAGACGAGCAACATTTAGAGGAAGCCTTGAAGAGAATATTCCAGTATGGTCAGGTCTGCTATGTTCACTTTGACCTTGTCTATTCTTTGCATTATTTGTCTTTGTTAATATTCGGCTTCATGCCTAATTAAATGTTTGAACCACATAAACTTTGGTGCTTGAAGCTCTCTGGTTGATGTACTTATCATTGTCATGATAAATGCTTGCTCAAATAACAATAACAATGATTAAGATGATGAAAGAATAAGGTGTTGCCTGAGAATTTTCCAGTTTAGTAGAAGATGAGGGGCAAGATTTGCAGATTACTTCTATAGAATCTGATCTACAGCTGGGCTTGTCATTAATCTTGTGGTGTTAGGGTCATGTTTGATATATCTTGTTCTAACTTTCCTTTTCTTGCGCATGACAGGGAGGAGGAATTCCTCGCAGGAGTGCACCTGTTCTACAAAAGATTCGTGAAGAAGTAGGTTCCCTCAGTTTTGTATTTAGTTTCCGATTTCAGATAGCATGCATTGCCACACCCTTCCAGCAAATCATATAAAAACTGCCAATTTCCATGTCAGTAATTTCTAGGCTCCTTTTGTATTGCATCCTCCACGTTGAACTGATTTATCTTCTTTCTGGCTTTACTCATATTCTTGTCATCTGTTAGGTTACTGATGATGGGAAATACTGCCTTGTCCTGGAATTTGAGGCGAAAGCTCTAACATTATCCGACTTCGAAAAAAGACAGGTAGAAAGGAATGATTCATACTTAGATCTTGCACCTCTTATTTAATTTCCTTTGAGGATTAAATATTGTGAATGGTATTATTCGCTCAGAATCTCAGATCAAGTGATGTTTGTTTTCAGGCAAAATTCACTTCCTTCTTTGGACCAGATATCACAGCAGAAGTTGGTGAGTTGTACATTAAGTGTCTTCATTCTAAAACCTTCACAATTCTTGATTTGCTTGTGCGATTAATCAGTAATTTATGTAATGCTGCTAATGAGAATGTGATGTGTCACAGGGAAGGGGGAAGGCGATGTATTTGAAGTGCGACTCATTTCAAATTCTAATTCAAATGCCAAAGTATCATCTTCGTAAAGATCTTGATGGTACAAATACAGTTTCACCCTGCTCTTAACTTGCAATTTCCATCACATGTTTATGTTTCCTTAAGATTTGGTAATGTTGATATCTGATATGTATGTGGCAAATGTATTTGCATAGTTCAATATAATATGTACAGTTATTGAGAATCGAGAATAATGTTAAAGCTCTTCAACTAGCTGGCATATAAGGGAATTACTTTCTACACCAGGGCATTGATTGTACATGAGTAGTTAGAATCTCTATTATTAAAGTTGATGTTCGAAACTATGAAACATATGCAACTGGTCCAGAATCACTTGCCCTGCCCCAGTCATTCATAACGTATGCTGCCAAGATGTTCACAGTGAAGCTGGATTGAAATGTATTCTCTCCCGCTACTCAATTATTGAGATTGAAATGTTTTTGTTGGCATTACCTACTGTTGCTTGATTATAGCCAAATTTAATTTTTTATTTTATTTTTTTATTTCGACGAATCTGAAACTACAAAATACTGAAGTACCAGGAGAGACAATTGTGGTTCAACACCTATGGGACAAGCTGCGTGCTTGTGGTTTCATAAGCAGAACAGATGAGATTTGTATGGAATGAGTTAACGAATACTCCCAGTCCCACCAAAAACAGAGAGCATCTACCTCTGTCCTTTCTCTGTGTTCTTCTGACTCCTTGTTCCTCGTGCATTTCTTGTTTTTTTTCTTCTCCGAATTGCGTGACAGAGGTGGAGCCTTTTCAGTTTTCTCAATCACACACTAGTTATTTGGTGAATTCCATGTTGCTGTTAAACAGAATCTTCTCCAATTTCCATACACCACCACCAGCAAAAGCCAAAAGCTGGCAACAGCCCCATTTTCACATTTCACTCTTTGCAGAGGAAACAACAAAGCTTAGCTTGACTGAAGCTACAAGATCGAACCACAAAAGATATGGAACCGCAAACCCTTCCTACATTGTCACCATACAAGATACAACTGAAACTCTGTTTCATAAAGACCATCTGATCAGCTCATCATCAATATCATAGTTCCTTTACGCACTGCTAAGCTCTCTGGCCTATCCGGGTTTCGATATCAGCAGCCTTCGAGCTTGCGTAGGAATATGTTTTTCTTGCTTGTTGGTTTGTGTTTCTCTCTTTGCCTTTTTCTCATCCATGACAGGCAACCACCTTGGCTGCTGCTGCTGCTGTAGGTACTGCACCTCCATATAACCTCTGTTTTGGAAGACTCATTTTCCATTTGAGGCTGCACATAGAACACCACAAATTTGGCGCATCAATATGTCGAATTTTCCTTCTTCTTCCACGTGTGTTAGGTTCAATTAATCATGTTTATGAAAGCAGCAGGCATTCGTGTTTGAGCTAGAGAACTATGACGGTGAATGAGATATTGAAAGAGAACTCAAACTGCCTATCGGAGGGGCACTCTTTCGATAGTTGACGTGCTAGTTTGAGCTGGAAGGGGGAAAAAGGCAGTTGAATAAGTGGGTAACTGTTTTTCATTCTTTTGGGTGTTGAGAGTTCCTGGATATGAGCTAATTTTGGGTGACGAAAACGGAGACTGGGAAGAAGTACCATGTTCTCTCTGCCCCACCCACAGCAGTGACTATCAAGCACATTGGACCTCCCATTTTTGGGTTGTCCACTAGGGAGGGACCTCTCGAAAAGGCAGCAAGGAATATGAATGGCATACAAATCATCCCAGGATTGAAAGACCAAAGCCATGCAGGTAAATGGAAAGGCTGAGTATTTGTGGCTATCATGTTGTTGTGTAAACTGGGTTCAACTCTCATCATTGTACTAAATTCACGGAACTGCCATGGGGGATTTTCAGGTCGTGATGGGGCGGCTCTAAATGCAGTGAATGTAGAAAATTGTGCAGCAAAAGTTTAAGATTCCTATGTATGTTGTGGTGTGGTTGCAGAGTCCTCTGAAACACTTGACAGCGATGTGGCATTCTCATTGACAACTCCACACCATGGAAATCAGAAAGAAAAGCAGCAAAAAGTCATTATAGGAGGCACAGCTGAAGCATTTTCGTTGGCACTACATAAAAACAAATGCAAACTAAAGGTACGTACTCACAGAAAGCTATCTTTCTTTCTACCTTTCTTCGTGATATTTCTATTATCTTTAGCTGAAACAGGTTTGTAACCGAGGCATGAGAAAACAGGTTGAAAGATAGGGAAGAAAGAAAGTGGGATTGATGCATAATGTAACCTGAGCATCTGATTAGCTGCAATCGCCTAGAAATGCTTAACATAAACTCTATATTTGTGGGACATGCAAACTCTGGTGTTTAGATATCGAGAAGGGGACCAATTATCATGACTATGAAATTTGGAGTGGTGGAGGGGACCAATTATATTTTTGTTTTCTTTCCCTTCAGTGGCATTTGTTCTTGGGGAGGGCCTCGACACATCACACCTATATACCCCACAGGTCACAACGAAGGTACCCAGTTATTCTGTTATTGCCTCTCCATTTTAGAAGGCACAGTATCCATCTAGCACCCCTAATTTCCCAATCATGTCGATCAGGTAATTTAGGCCAAGAAAGGAAAACGAACAGACAAGTGTAGATGCATAAGTTGATCAACTCCTGCCTTGACTTAGCTGTTAATTAATGGCCGATGGATGATGAAATCTCTTAATTCAAAGGTGGTTACCTTTTCTGCAGCTTTCAGAACAGTCGCCTTACAGTTAGGGGAATCTTCTCCACCTTCTGCTTCACTTCTTTTCAATGGTGATGATCTTTCTGTTGAACTGATCTCCTCAGGTGGTGAAGTGCTCTGTGTTCCAATATCTCTAGTACTTCCACTTCCACAGCTCTCTGTCTTTCTCTCTGAACAAAAATCAAACCGAACTACTTGCTTATCGCAGCTCTCAGAAACAACAACAGAGAGCCAAAGTGTTCACGTTGAGCTTAGAATCGAACCTGGAATCGGTGAGGTAACATGATTGTGGTTCTGATGATCCTGGGAAGCTCCAACAACAGCAGCAGGCTTGACCAGGATTTGCCTCGGATGGGTAGACGAAGAAGAGTAAACAAGAGGAGCAGACACAGAAGAAATCTTGTTATAGAATGATCTCCCACTCAGTGTCTTGGCTGAAAGACACTCCATGGGCACCTGTCCTGAGAGAGGGTTGCATATGTACTTCTCAGCTTCGTTCCACTTGGAGTGCAGAGCAAACCCGTCTGGGGATAAGCACTCCCCTGTCCAGCTGTTGCAGAGTCCCGACCTTGTCTGCAGAGCTGCGTTTTTCATTTTCTCAGACTTGTTAGTGCTGGAAAAAGGAAGAAGGAAAAGGTGAGCACTTTTTTTTGCATAATTAGTGTTAGTTAACCTTTGAGAGCAGTGGTGAATGAGTATGTTGATGGGTCGATTTCTTCTTTGAAAGGGTAGCCTGGAGAAGAAGCAGTGCTTGAAACGGTGAGGTGTGATGATCTGAAAGACCTGGCATTGGCCTCTTCTCTGAAACTTCTGATATGGGAACCTGAGAACCTTCTGCTGGACTTGGTGTTGTCACGGCTTGGTTGAGACCTCACACCCCAATAGTCTCTTACACTCAAATCTGGTATTTCTTCTCTTCGTCGAGAGCCGAACTGAGATTTTTCGATCGATGAAGCCATATGGATCGGTGGTGATGGAGTTGAAGAGATGGGGGAGTCACAGGAATAAGTGGAAACACTAACATGGGAGGGAAATGCTGTCTCTTGAAGTCTTTTCTTTTCCTTTTATATGACTTTGGGAAGGTCTAGTGTGCATGCAGTTCTCTTACTAGAATAAGGCAGAGCGATAAATTTTGTCATTTACCTGTTTCCACCATTCATGGCTTGGCACATAATAGATAGTCGCCAGTCTGAGCTATTTTTGTTTTAATGCATATGATACCTCCCTCTATCAAGTGGTATTTTTCCTTTTATATATAGGCTTCCTCGATATGTATTGACCTAAACTATAAGAGCATCTCCAACGGTTTGACTCTCCCCACTTTCATTCCTACGTGGCCCAAGCTTGCAATTTCAATTGCCCATTGCACTCATGTGAGTGGCAATTGTAAAAATGGGAACTTTCATCTAGTGAAAGTGGCATTGCAAGCCAAGGTGGATTTTGTGCTATAATTTTTTTTTCTTGTTTTGATTTCAATGCCCACTTTTGGCTGCATATGCCATAGATTTAATTATTATTGGAGTTTTTTTGTATAATTTCCATGGACCATGTGTTAAATTAGTATTATTGTAATTTTTGTATCAATGGGAGTAAATAGCATCATATACTAATTTTATTAATTAAAATAAAATATACATACTAATATAATAATAAAATTAAATTTTTATTACTTTAATTTCATATCTACAAATATCAAAATTATTATATTGATTTGCTGAAAATATTAACTTATTCTTTTATTCAATGTTCATTGCCATTGTAATTTAAAATGCATAAACATTAAACTAAAAAATATAATAAGAAATGATAGGTCGAAACAAAACAAATATCAAATTCCTGAATATAATAAATCACGCGTCTTTGAGTAGCTCGTTAATTTTCCTTTCATTGTGCTAGTTCATCGTATTTTATTTTGATTGTATGAATAATTATTGAGTACTAGATTCTTTCTATTCCATCCTCAAGATCAAAATGTATTCATAAATTAGTAATAAAAATTTTATGAATTAATTGTATATATTTCGTCTAAATTAAAAAAGAAGAATAGTATTATTTTATTTACTTGCAATGTGGATAAAAAGGTATTTAAAAATTGTTTTTTAATGCATTAAAAAAATTTAGGCCTCATATGCAATTGCAATTTAATTGCACCAATGTAGGTACAATGAAAGTAAAGTGAGTTGGCTTGCAAAAATGGTGTTGTGTCAAAAAAATCACAAATGCAATTGCACCAATGGAGATGCTCTAAGTAGGGGTGGGATTCGTTTACCAACGGTAAATTGTTTACCGAATTTACCGGTTTGTAACCGGTTTACCGATTACCGGTAAACGGTTACAAACCGGTATTACCGAAATACCGTGAGAAGCGATTTCGGGCGGTTTTTCGGTCGGTTTACCGAATATTTACCAAACCGAATTTCTGGAAGTGGGGTGATGTTGTAATATTTTGATTTTTTTTAGTTTTTTTCATCATTTTTGTAATTAATAATTTATTATTAACTCTTATTTACAATATTTTTTAGGTCTATACTTACTTAAATTCACGTATGTAATATTTTATATTTGTGAATAATAATGTATATGTTATATGTTAGTGGAGTAGGGAGGGGGAATTTCGGTATCGGTATTACCAATTTACCGTCGCTATTTACCGGTATCGTGTCCGGTAAACCGATTCCCCCAACTTCCCGCTCAACTACCGATACCGCCGGTTACCGGTTCGGTAAAACTGTAAACCGTTTACCGGATTACCGTTTACCACCCCTAACTATAAGGAGTTAGCACCATACTAGTAAGAACAACAAAGACTTGTATATGATTGTTGGGCTCAGTTAACTTGCTAACGATAAGGGTTAGCCCTATAATAATTGAGTTGTAGTGGTATAATCACATAGTTTTTATTTTTATAGTTGTAGTCGTTATCTCTATTTCTTGTCATTGGGAATCTTTGATTCAATTAATTAGAGGATGAGAGATGACTAATGAGAGTTCCACTTTTTGGAGTTCTGAAAATAACAAGTGATTGAGTGATAGACGAGTGTGACTTAGGAAAAATGGAAAGACAATCTTGGATTGGATGGAGGCTTGCAAGTTGTCCAGAGCGATAAAACTTAAAAGGCCACCAGAGATTGTGAGATATATTTAGAGGTCGTTTGGAAGTTGCGAATGTTAAATCGTTGCATTGTAATGAGTCACCACAATATTAAATGCATATATTGATACAATAGATGTATTTTAACAATACATTGTTTGGTTGTTGAGATTCTATTTTATGCATTGATTTACATAAAGTTTCTTTATGGGAAAATGTCACATTTACCCTCAACTTTTAGAATAAGACAAAAACTATTAATGATATAAATGGAAAGAAAAAGTTGACACAAATCTAAAACCAACAATCACAACAATCTCAACTTTTAGTTGAGATTGTATAATGCATCATTTTTTGTGATTGTTGGTGGGACCCAATGCAGTCAAAATAGCGTTTTAAAACTAAAAAACTTACGATTTTACGCTTTTAGGTCACCAAAACGCTTTCGTTTTCATATAAAAACTTCAGTATATAAAATCGGACTAAATTGCGTTTTAAAGCTTAAAAGCTTACGGTTTTACGCTTCTAGTTCTCCAAAATGCTTTACGTTTTTACGCTTTTAGTTCACTAAATGAGTATTCTTTTCATGAAATTAATTATAAAAAGTATATTTTAAAAGTAAATCACCAACAATATGATACATTTGAGATTAAAAGATACATATAAGGTACTTGTATGCATTCTCAACTTCGATAGAGTAATCGAATCGAATTCACCCGTTAGGCTTTTCCCAAATTCATTAGCATAGTGGGAAAAGTGGCTTATTGTTAAAATTTATGTTTACAAACTTATTATTAAGATGCTATAAGTTGTTCTACTTTAGGCATGAATCACATGTATTTATTGACTTATCTAAATTCTGTGCATTCATATTTTGCATAGCATATGTCCTACTTAATACATTTTTAGTTATTTTCAGTATGCGTCAAAAACTTACGCTTTTACGCTTTATGAGTTTACCCATTTTCCGCTTCTAGGTAGAATCGCGCTTTTGACTGCATTGGTGGGACCTACGCATTGTTTTACACTTTGACACTTCCAAACATTGTATTGTGCACAATACATGTATTCAACAATCACAACTTCCAAACGACCCCTTAATTAATTGCAAATTTTGTTGTTTCTTGATACTTTGATATATACCGATCTCCTTCTCGTGCTTCCAAATGGTTGAGATAGTTACAATACATGCATTGTCCACAATTCATCGTTTTTCTGAATTTTCTGCACAAACAATACATGCATTGTTTGCTTGATGTGACACAAACTATCACTCAAAATGAGTGGTAGTTAAATCTCAAAGTTTTTGGTGAGATTGTTTGATTGAGATTGTTGTGCATTTTTTCCCCCAACTTAATCCCTACCTTTTTATGTATCTTGCTTTTTTGTATTACAAACAAAGGGTAAAAGTGACATTTCACCCAAAAAGTAAGATAATTTATTTAAATAACACACACATAAACCAAACGATGCAAACTACAATACACCGATTTTCTTATATACATGTATATTATTATACATGCATTGATGACAATGCATCTATTCTATTTAACTATCACCAAAACCAAACTACCCTTGGTATGACAAATATTCGTAAGAAACTTCCAGCCTAATGGTGGCTGAGATTCCAGGAAAGGAGTTTTAGACTTCTTTTACTCTCAGCAATATGAGGAATGGGTTCGTTTGCCTGTCCGGTCTGTCCCGCATGTCCCTCCTGTTAGCTCAGGGCTGTCGAGTGTTGAGGGTGACCAGCGGATGATTTGTCGGTGGGATGGAGCCATTAGGAGGGGATCTCATTCAGCTGGCGGAATGGTGCTGCTGTATCCTACAGGAGGGATCAGTTTGGCTTCGGGTGTGCAATTCCCAGTTATTGAGGACCCGATGGTAGTGGAGCTGTTGGTGCTTAGAGAGGCAATGCTTTGGTGTCGTGGCCTAGGCCTTACTGATGTGAGGTTTGAAGGCGATGCCAAGGTCATTATTGATAAGCTCAATCGGGGGGACCTTGGAGATAGCAGGATGGGATCTGTTCTTGAAGAAATTTATAGTTGTCTCCAGGCTCAAGCAGGTGCAAGTATACGGTTTGTAGGTAGGCGTAGCAATAGGGTAGCCCATTTGGTGGCTAGGAAAGCCCTTTCTTTGTACCCTACCATTAGACGTTCCTTTGATTTCCAGACCTGGCTGAATTCCAGGGTGTAACTACCTTTTTTTGTGAATCAATATAAGATTATCTTTTGTCAAAAAAAAAAAAAATACAAGTTGATAAACTACGAAGTGGCAGGAAAACTAGATATCCAATGTTACGTCGGGTTGTTTTCAGTTAGTAGTGGGGTTCAATGCTCCAACTCTATCTAAGGCCTCAAGGATAAAAAGCCCTAGCTAGGGGACAGGTTACGGTGATTACTACAATGTAGTAATCACCGTGGTTACTAAGGGTAAATTGGGTATGAAAAATAAATTGTATTAATTAATTTTTTTAATAAAATACATTTTAGTTAGTTACAAGAATCTATTAATTACAATTTTCTCTCTTTCTCTCACTTCCATAATCTCCAGCGAGATCCCCTTTCCTTATTTTTCTCAATCTTTCTGCAAAAGAAAAACAATACGAAATCACTACCAATCCATTAGACAACTACTACCACTTTGAAAAATATCAATACCATTGCAAAAATAAATCTATACCATTACACGAAAACTACCAATATAAACAATCTACCAATATAAATCTATACCATTCCACAATAAATTAATACCATTGCAGATTTAATCAATACCAATACATGCAAATTAATACCATTACATGATAATCAATACCAATGCAACAAAAACAATACCAATGCAACAAAATCAATACCAATGCGACAAAATCAATACCAATACATGATGATAAATACCAATGCACCAAAAACAATACCAATGCGAAAAAACACTACCACTATGGAAAAAATCACTACTATTTCACGAAAATACATACCTTTACACATCCAGAGATCCAATTAATTAGAGCCTCGATCTCCTGTACTTAGAGAGAGAGAGAGAGAGAGAGAGAGAGAGATCATGCGAGGGAGTGGAGGGGAAGAGGGCGGCGTAGGGAAGGGATATTGTGGGGGGGAAGAGGGTGATGGGAGGTAGCGGGATGGAGCGGCGGGAGGTAGCGGGTGGGGAGGAGAGCAGGGTGGGGTGGCGGGTGCGGAGGACGGCGACGAGAGGTAGTAGGTGAGGATTAGGGTTTGGATCTAATATATAGAATAATCAGGTGTGGTATTTTTTCATTTCCAAAATTATCCTTAATCTAATCTTCACCGTTAATTTAAAAATAATGTAAAATAGAGATAACTAATGGTGTAGATTTTGGTAGCCACCATAATTACTAAAAATTATGTAACCATGCTAACCTATTCCCCCTAGCTAGACACCCAATGACGGAAAATGTTGCCTACTCCAATTTTGGATGGCAACGATATGGGTTTTCTATATACTATTTTGAACTACAATATTTGGATAATAGTAACTCATTTTAGCAAAAGTTGTAGAATTTGTTATGGCATTAGATTACTAGACGTAATTTTCATATGAACATTTACCTCATTGTTTGATGGTTTTTCTAAATGAAAATAAAATGTGGCACCCATTTCCTTGAGAATATCCAAGGTATGCTAGTGTTGAAGAGAATACTTCAAGCGTTCCACATAATTCATGTCAAAGAATACTTCAAGGTATTCACGAGAAGCATGCTTCAAACCATGTAATGACTTGTGAGCTAAACCATCTCTCAAATCTTAGGAATTTAATACCAATCCATCCGATTTGTCGATGAATTTTCTCTTTTCAAGTTTAGGAGAATGTATAATGGGAGGGATGGGTATTAAATTTTACAAATCAATATCATAAACTCGGCGAAGACATATGTTAGAAATCCGCTTTAATACTATTATAATAATAATTATTATGATTTTGCTAGGGTTGGATGTTCGAGTATTGCCCAGTAGGATTAGGGTTTTGGGTGTCTTTTATTATAAATATGTACTTTGGGTCTTACGTCATAATCAATAAAAAAAAGTATCCAGAAAAATCTCTCAACATCCTAATCTCTGTTCTCCCAATTTCGTCCCTTATCTCAAGATCGGTGACCATTCTTCTTCTCGATCTCCAATTTCCTCTTATGTTCTTCCTGTCAAGAACCAGTTGATCCCAATAACTCGAGTTGTTGGGAGAGGTTCAATCATGGATCATATACCACAACACTAACACGCCCCCTCAAACGAAAGCCACTCACAAGGGCTTGAAGTTTGCACAGGTCTGAAGACAAGAATACCATGTGCTTAACAAATGGGGGTCACTGGAAATCGAACACAAGACCTCTCGGTCAAGAACCAGTTGTAACCAATAACTCGAGTTGTTGGAAGAGGTTCAATCGTGGATCATATACCACAACACTAACACTTCCTATCCCAATTCTCAATCGTTCTCTAATTCTTTCTCGCTAAACCCCAAATTACTTATCAATTCCCTATCTCGCAAACACGTTGGTTAGGAACCCTAGAGAAGGGTTTCCAACACCAGAGCAAGGAGAGGGCGAAGGAGGATACGTATAGTATATGTGGCTGAAACATGATTGATATGAGCAAGTGCGAGGGTGCATGTGGGAGAGACTGATTCATGATGATGGAGGCGTCAGTTTTTTGTTTGTTTGGCAATGCAACGAAAGTTTCTCAATGAAAGGGAAAAAGCCTCTCTTCTTCTTCCATCCTCTTTCCCCTGTTTTTACACTTGCAAGCGCTCTTTCTCTCTTTGCTCGCTGCCACGCCACTCAGCCAGCTAGCCGCCTCCTCCTCCACTCGTTTCCTTATTGGTCCCCCCTTTTCCTTCTGGGTTTCTACAAAATTTTTGCAGCTGCATTTAATCTGTAAAGTATCTCCAAACAGATTCCCAGCTGATTTTTCTCACCCCCATCCTTGTCGTTTCCCTCATCTCATCAGCGATATGGCTGGCCCCCATTTTCTTTGGTTGTCTTTGTTTCCCGTTGGTCTTATTGGTTTCACGGTTTTGTGCAACAAAGGCATACAATACATCCCTGTTTTAGTTTTGATTGGGGCAAAGAACAAACAGTTTATGTAATGATGGTGAATCCCCTGTTTTTTTTTTTTTTTTTTTTTGTCTCTGGTTTGGGGATTATGAGCAGAGATGTGAGATGACCAAATCTTATCCGCACCAGTGCTTCCTTCCTGCCATGCAAAGGCAATAATTGGGTTTGAAACTGAACAGCTGGTTTTGGATCGCAGCGACCGACGACGAGCATTCAAATGGGACTTCCAACACACGAGCATTCAAAATTCAAATCGTTCTTATTCAGATTCTGCTCTCACTGCATTTCAACAGTGGTTCTTTCATTTGCATTCAAATTTCAATACTGCTAATGTGGAACACTCTACGGGCAATGTAATTATTCGTAATAAAACCTTATTCTTATCTTGCCAATCCAACGCACGACCAAATGCAGAGCCTCAAATGAACACATAATATAATAGTGGCCAATCAATTAGGGAGAGATATTTTCTTAAAAAAAAAAGGGGAGAGATATGGCAAAGAGTAGGAGAGAGTGAGTGCGGATGCCATTGAAAAGAAGGAAAAAAAAATTCAAATATACATGTTTTTTTTTTAAATACACACGTTTAAAAAAAATCCAAAATACATGCATGTTGGATTTATGTTTTAAGGAAGAAAATTAGATTTTTCTCGACGATTGGTTCGATTTTTGTGTGTACTAAACAAACTATTCAATTTTTCTCATAATGTGCTTTACATAGTCCAGACCATACAAGACTTAACTGCATAGGCATGTTCTGATTTAGACCATGTAGTATTTGGTACGATCTCTGGTCTATACTTCAGATTCTCGATCTGGACCATAAAATGTATTTATGATTTAGTTTGGACCAAACCTTGTCGTTTCCCAACCCTAATTGTCATGATAAAAAACCTAGTATGAGATTGATATGTCTGAAATATTAGCTTCAGATATATCTTAGACTAGATTATCTGCATTGAGCCATTGACCATCATATTTGGAAATGGTTGTGGAATCTTTAGATGCCTCTAAAGTTGATTTTATTTCTTTGGCAAAGTCTTCACCGCATTTTACCAAGGATGCACTAGCCATTCATGGAGTTGACATGATTCCGATTTGCCCCACTTTTAACTAGGGACGGCAATCAAACCCATGTCTACGGGAAATCCCCGCTTTGACTGGGTATGGGGCGGGTATGGGTAAAATCCGCAAAATGTTTGATGGGTATGGGGCGGGTATGGTTTTAGCTTTCCCCGCCCAATACCCATACCCGCCCCACCAAGAATATTTGTTCACATATAAAAAATACATGGATGAAATAGTAATCTATCAATGATAATGAGGGTAAACAAAAAAAAAATAATTGGTAGAAATGCAATTAAGTGGTCACCCAAATCAAAACCTAATTCATTTTCCTCAACTCTCTCTTCGCTCTTTCACTTTTCCCTCGTGTTAGCAAGATTATATTAGTTCATTATTGCTTTGTATGTGTATTAGAGTTAGATAAATAATGATTTGGATTACATTGTAGTACTCTATTTTATGGATTAAGGGAAATTTTAGGATAAAATGCTTTGAACCATATTAAGAATTATTGTCACTTTCTCGACTTCATGATATAATAGGTGCCTTTAATGTTATAATTGAAAATTTACATGTAAAATTTTATGTATTATAATGTTGGATGTACGGGGCGGGTATTACCCATGGGTACCCGAAACCCACGGGTATGGGGATGAGTTGCAAAATCTTCCCCCGCATGGGTATGAGGCAGGTATGAGTTTGAATATTTGAAAGCGGGGATGGGGATGGTTTAGGCAAACCCTCCCCAAACCCGCCACATTGCCATCCCTACTTTTAACATGAAAGATAAATCAATTGAACATCTTTTTTCCATTGTCTTGTTGCCCATAGGTTCTAGAGAGAAATTGGTTTTCGTCCTCAAATACTAACGTGGTCTAACTGTCTTTCTTCGATCGCATTTGTTCCCTATTTCAGGAGATGCTGCTCATTTCAGGATCCTGGAGATTGTCTGTGGTCTTTGGCGACTATGAAAGAATTGATGCACGATAACTTTTGAATATCATCAAGTGACTATGTATACTTTAACGAACCAATGGGGCCACCAATGAAGGAAATTCGATCAAGCTATGCTCCAACTTTCTCAATATCCGTCTCAATCTGTCCCTCTTAGGGCTGCGCTTTCAACTGTTGGGCTCGCACCGCTAGCTTCTTTTGATGGCACAACAACAACAAAATGAAAAGGGGTCTTCTGGATTTGGTCTTCGGGTGCAGGATGGTAGTACCATATATGCTAACACCACTCACTATGATGGCATCTGGTACCCTTCATTTTGGAAGCTCTAGCGTTGCGAGACTGTTTATTGTTCTATGATCAAAGAGGATACAGAAATGTCTTGTTTGTGCTGGAATCATGGGGAATGCTAAGTTACTTATGGACAAATGTGGAATCTGTGATTACAAGGATGCGAAGGCAGGGCCAATCCTTCAAGAAATTTGTCAATTGTTGGTAGGATTGGTAACAGGATCAGCTCATTTGGTGGCTCGGAAAGCTTTGTATTTGTCGCCTCAGCCGCTGTTGAGGTTCGATAATGTTTCGTAGTTGCAGAGCTTATAGGTTCCGAACTTCTAATGACAAAAAAAATCCAATGACGCCCACTACTTACGAATTGAGAAGCCCAAACAAGGATCCATAAGGCGACAAGGCCAGGCCCATGGTTTTGCCGCGTTCATAATATAACTGGCGAATGGGTAGCAAGCCTGTTAGACCCATTAAACCCTTCTGCCGGCCCATTCGACACTCCTCAAAACCCTAGTCACGTTAAACATCCGGGACTATAAATATAACATTTCTGCTCTTTTCCCCCTTCTCCCACAGCTCACACTCTTGCCTCTCGCGCGCCCCCTCCATCTCTCTATCTTCCTCCAAACCCTAGCCCTGCCCAGAATCCGCCGCCGGCCACCATGTCTGGCGAAACACTCTATCTCCGCGGCACCATGCGCGCTCACACCGACCATGTGACCGCCATCGCCACACCCATCGACAACTCCGACATGATCGTTACCTCCTCCCGTGACAAATCGCTCATCGTCTGGGATCTCACCAAGGTCGAGAAGACCTACGGTGTCCCCCGCCGTCGCCTCACCGGTCACTCGCATTTCGTTCAGGACGTCGTCCTCTCCTCCGACGGCCAGTTCGCTCTGTCCGGTTCCTGGGACGGTGAGCTCCGGCTCTGGGATCTCGCAGCCGGTGTCTCCGCCCGTCGCTTCGTCGGGCACACCAAGGACGTGCTCTCCGTCGCCTTCTCGATCGACAACCGTCAGATCGTGTCCGCCTCCCGTGACAAGACCATCAAGCTGTGGAACACCCTCGGCGAGTGCAAGTACACCATCCAGGACGGCGAGGCGCACTCCGATTGGGTAAGCTGCGTTCGATTCAGCCCTAACACTCTCCAGCCCACTATTGTTTCCGCGTCCTGGGACCGTACCGTGAAGGTCTGGAATTTGACCAACTGCAAGCTGAGAAACACCTTGCCTGGCCATGGTGGCTATGTGAACACTGTTGCTGTTTCTCCTGACGGCTCGTTGTGCGCCAGTGGAGGGAAAGATGGTGTGATTTTGCTCTGGGATCTTGCAGAGGGTAAGAGGCTTTACAGTTTGGATGCCGGTGCTGTGATTCATGCGCTCTGCTTCAGTCCCAACAGGTACTGGCTGTGTGCTGCTACTGAGAACAGCATTAAGATCTGGGATTTGGAGAGCAAGTCGATTGTTGAGGACTTGAAGGTTGACCTCAAGGCCGAGGCTGAGAAATCTGAGGGTGCTGCACCCAACACTCTTAAGGTATATTTGCACTTTCTTTTAGCCTTGATATTATTGATGTTTTGAGCAGCCTAGAATTATGATAGTGTCTGCTCGAATGTCCCTGGTAATTACTGGGTTTGAATTAGTTACTGTGGTATGTTAACATTTCGTATATGGGGCTTGTTTACTTGATTGTTCTGCTAGTTATGCGTTTGTGCTTGTGCTTGTGCTGTATGAGGCTATTCTTTTGTGTTTTAGTCATGTGGTTATTCTTTTATTGAAAACATTGATGTGTTCTTCCTGTTGGTTGTCTGTTCAATGATAGCCACCTTTGTTATGCTCTTTTGCTCGTAGTCTTGCTGTTTACACATTCATAAAAAATTATAAAGTTTTCTCAGAAACCATTTAGCTGGATCAAGTTGTTCTATATGATGATTTTAGTTGGTTATAGATAGTATGATATAAGTAGGGGTCGGATTTGCTGGTCGGTCCTTTTTATCTCTTACAGAATGTTTTGTATGAGATTCGTAGCTTGCTTTCTCGTGCTATATCCAGGTTTGAAGTTGTTTGGTTACCTAGCTTTTGCCATCAAGATTCCTTTTCAATCGTTCCTTCTTTTTTTGTTGTGATCTAAATGCTTTGTAATGTTTTCTGTGTTATAACCCAAATTCTTTGATTGTTTGATCGCAGAACATCCATTGCACATGCTTGAACTGGAGTGCAGATGGAAGCATCTTGTTCAGTGGATACACCGACGGTGTGATTCGAGTTTGGGGCATTGGCCGCTGAATCGGTTGGGTCGAGAGTATTGAAGGAGGCCTGTTTTTTTGTTCACTTGGTAGGGAACAAGGGATTTTTGGAGACTATGTTTTGAGATATTTGTCATAGAAGTGAATCGTGCAATTTGCTGATGTTGGATTATTTTCAATTTGGTAATGAGCCCTAAGATGTTATGGTATTTTCATCATACATTAATTATGTGCTCCATTTGGTTTGAGGTTCTACTTAGTACTTACCCTCTGCCTCTAGTTGCTGATAAATGTGGTATCTTTGAAGTCGATGCAACATCAGTTTGATCGTTTGTGGTATAGCATCCAGTTTTAGCCCCTAGTCGTCCTGGCCAAAATGTAGGCATCCAAGGTCGCCTCATATCTTGTTGCACGAATGATCAAGTTATTTGCCAGCAGCATCCTGTTAAGCAAATGTTGATGCGCCATAATCTTAGCGACTTGTTGCTGCATTGAAATAAGGCACATATTGTGTCGAAGATGATGTGGAAAGATGGGAAGACGTCGAGGCTTGCAGAGGCTCGAAAATCCTGAGCTAATGGCCGTTGAAGAAGAGCATGATTCGCCTCCGTGACCTGAACGTCGCCATTGAGCAGCTACAGTCTCCACCATTATTGTTGGCGATCAAGATAAACACCACATCTGTTCTTCCAAATCCTCCAAAGGAGACGACCTGCAAAAATAAATAATCTCCATCCGGGTTGTCCTTTCGAAAAAAAAAAAAATTAACGCGGAAAACCAATAAAAGAATGTTTCTCCCAAGAATGAAGTTGTTGGAATCCTGTACTGCGCCAAAGTACGTGAAAAAACGATGCTCAATCGTCTCTTACAATCGTAGACTGGCAAATCTGAAAGAATATCAACGCCGCTGAAGGGTAGGCTCCGGATATGGTGCACAATCCATGGTTATGCACCTATCAGTAACTAAAGTCATTTTTGCTCAAGTAGCACGAGGTGTGCTAGCTGTTTTGGTGTCAGATGTGGCAAGTGAGTCAACTTTCAGCACTACTGGATGCATTGTAGATCCTTCCAGAACAAGTCTTGCTCCAAGAATAGTTGAGGCACTTGTGTGTACTCAAAATTGGTTGCGTTCAAAGCCACTTACAAATGACTTAGAGGCTGATCCACTTGAAGCTCTTCCCAATCCAAATGAAGATCAAGCTAATGGTAATGTGCTGATTTTTTGTGTGTGATTTCTTTGCATGGACTACTTTCCATTTTGAAGTAGCTAACCATTTTCCTTTTCTGCCAGATTTCTTGGATTCAAGTCCATTCATATTGACCGAAGATGATGGACTTATTGATGTCTAAATCGTAATTGGTGATTAGATAGTTTGATTTTACAGAACTTTTATTCAAGTTCACTCATTTACTAATACTAATATATATGTTGCTTTACACAACTTTTGTACATTAATATTGCGGCTGCTGTAAAGCTTCAGTGAAGATGCTGCTGCATAGCTTAATTGAAGACTAGAATATATAATGTACTTTTGTAAATGCAACATTCTTTTGATGATGGAAGAGTATTGAACTCTTTTAGTATTGGCTGCTAAAATCGCCAGCTTTTTGAGATGCAAACAGCAGTTGATGTTTATAGTCTGCTAGAAGTTACAGATGTTTCTTTGTTATATTGATGGAAAAAGAGAAATAGGAGAATGACAAATTGTTATTAAATTGAAGAAGGTGATATCTTGTATTGGATTGGTTTTGTATGGATGCATTGTACAAATTAAACAGACCCAACTTGAAACAAACCGGCAACTTTTTTTATATTAGTGGGTGGGTTTGAGTTTGACATTGTTCAAACCGTAGTCCATACAACGGGTGACTCAAATGGTTCAAACCCGAACTATTCGGTCCATGTACACTCATAATACTCATCTTGATTCTGAGTTGCAGGAGATGGGTTTGTTCTTGAGAACTTACGTCTTAAATATTTTAGTTGATATTTGCATTGTTAGAAATTGATGAAGCTCATAGTAAAGTTTTGAAAATTTGAGTCTTAATGTGGTTCAAGTTTTTGGGAAGGAAGAAAAGAGTGTATGGGGAAGGAAGAATGAGTAAGTGATCTAATGTAAGAAAGGGCATGAAGGTCTTTTATAAAAGTTAGAGCGATAATTAGTAAAAAGTATTGTAATTAATAACCACCTTCTATTATTGTTCTATAAAAACAAAATAGAACCTTCAGTATTTCATCATCGTATTCTTCAATTTGTCACTGTCGGCCCCTACACTTCCCTTGTCTCTCATCCTTTATTCTTACCTTCCCTCTTCTAATTCCATTTTCCTCCAAGTAGATCTATCCAGTTATGCTTGGGATAGAGAAGAAATTAGCAAACAAAAGACAGATTCTGGTGAAATCAACGGTCGAGTAAGAGGTTTGTTGTTGTATAAGAGTAATGTATTATTTGTTCAACTTTACAATGTAGCAATGGTAATTCATCTAAACAATCTCAGCATATTTGGTCTTCTCGTCCTTGCATAGCTGATATACTTATGGCAACAGAATGTCATAATTATGATTTCTGGTATTGATGAAACAATAAAGCGATTTGATACCTTTTTTTATTTAGTTTTGCTGATATTTATACTGAACAAACTATTATTTGGAAACTTTTGCCATCAAATTAATTTTCAACGAAGATTGATAGGTAGAAATTTTGGTTTTTCTTCTTCTTTGTAGTCCTCATATAAACATACTTGGTGTTGTTATATTCATCTATTGCTTTGCCTTTTCGTGCGCGTGTGTGTATGTGCCTTAATAAGAGAAATTAGAAGGAAGCATATCGAATCAAAAACTTAGTTGTTATAGACTTGTAGTGTATGCATGTGAAGAAAGTTACATGTCCATTATGCTGCAGTATGATGTCATCTTTTTCTTTCAGATCGTATATTGTCGTTTTCTTTCCTATATATTTATACTTCTGAGTCGACCTACATTGTTTTATTGGATGTGTTTCAATGCTTTCTTATCGTTAATATCGAACTTCTTAGTTTATGGCCTTCAAGTCATAATCATGGACTAATAAACACAGTAGAATACATATAAAGTTTTAAGTTATAGGTTGGATATAACAAATCTCACTTCCTCTTATGTTTTAAAGATCAAGGGCTACATAAGAACACTAATGTCATACATTTCAAGCAAAACAAACATGACAAACAAAGAGAACAATAGAAGTGAACACTTGGAAATGTAAGTATTTTTGTTGTTGTTGCAGATTATCCAAAAGTCTCAACCAGTGCAAACAAGGTGAAGTAAATGTTCACTTTCAAATGAGAGATTTCTTAATTTTCATTAACATATTTGACTTTGTCTATGTATATCGTGGTCCTGGTGTGGATTATTTCTAAATGGAGACTTCTTTTTATAAATCCTCATGGATGAGATTAAAAGAACACAATTTCTAAACACCAATTTTATAGATTTTTTAATTTATTTTAAAAAATTATTTTATAGAGTAATAAGCCATATGAAAATTTGAGGGACTAAAACTGTCCTTTAACTAATTTTGAGTATGTTGTCTAACCAATATTTTTTTTTTATGGTATAAACTATAAAGTAAGGATGATGAAATTTTATTAGTTTCATGGCATATAGTAAGGCTGTAAAGGCAGTTGAATCGTCTATTGGGCCTGCCGTTATTAGTTTTATGTCAGCCCAACGTTTTGGTAACGAGATGAACAAGTGATAAGATGGCCCAACTATTTTGCATTCGCCAATACGACATTTCAAGTTCCGTATCCGATGGTCTCCACCGACGCCGACAACAAGCTCGTCGACGAGGCGGAAGAAATGAACCTCTCGCCGACTCCGGGCGCCGCGGCTGCTGATCCTGCTTTCTCCACTCCGGAGGCAAAGGAGCACCAGATTCCGAAGCCAATAACCTGTCCCCCGGCGCCGCTCAGAGCTCCAGGAAAGCGCAGGCTATCCCGCTCCGCAATTCGCGACGCGACTAAAAAATTCCGAGCGGCGAGGGATTTCCTCCTTTCGCCGGAGATGGAGACCGGCCGCCGCACCCCCAAGCACGATCTCCGCAGTGCCAAGCACTTCCGCTAGCTAACAACGGGCATCCGCTGAGCGTTGTGTAATTAGCTAGGAATATGGTCTGCTTTGATTTGACAAAATAGGGTTTGTTTGGATTGGGTAATTTGGGATTTCTTCGTTATTGCGGAGCGTCGAGTGTAATTTTTTTTGAGTAAGAAACTGTAATTAGGGTTGGACTCGATCCTCTTGTTCTATCAAGCAGCTGCAGCTTTGTTGACGTCTGTATCACTGTATGTTATATGTATATGGAGAAATCAGCCCGTTGAGAGAGATTTTGGGTGTCGTTCGTTGCCTGTACAAGTTGCTACTCCATTGATGGAACCTGTGAAATCGGTGTTGAAAGCTTTCTTCTGTAGTGACTGTGACCAATTCTGATACTATCTAAGGTAGAAAATCTCCAAACTGGAAATTGGCAGTCTTTTTCATTGCTGTAAAAAGTAATAGAAGTCTAGAAAAACTGAAGAGACAGAACTCAGAAGGTTCCAGTAGGCAGGGGACGGACAGTTCATGCCCTTTTTTTTTTTGACAAACTCAGTTTCATTAAACTGAAAAACAGTTACAAAGTTTAGGTACAAGCCCATGGAGAGACAATCATAATAAATAAAGAAGAGAAACGGGTCCATTCCTGTAAGCCCACCACATCAACAAAAATAACAACCTCAAAGCCCAAACATGGAGGCCCACAACGAAAAACCCACTCCTAAACCCTATCTAGAATGAACCACCACAAAGAGATCGCTGCCGCCGCTCAACAAACCAATCTGCCTAGAACTCAGAAGCCGCCGACCAGACAAGGAGGAACACGATGCACAGAGGAACTTCGACCCATGGATGAAGGCGAAGACGCACCCAAAACGCGGAGACGACCACCAAGAGCAGGGCAGAAACCAGAGGAAAAGCATGCAACGATCTCTGAGTGAGGCATCCCCATCTTCAAATCCATAAACCGCATCCGAGCCAAAACACGAAGGAAAGCCACAACATCTCCGGATCATCGCGATCTGTTGGATGAAACAAGGAGGTAGATGAAAGATTTAAGGAAAGAAGATGAGTTGAAGAAGAAATCGACAACCCCCTTTGCAACTGGACAAAAGAGCTCCAAGAACCCTAGATCTGAAGATCAGACCAGAACTGGAGAGGGAAAGGAACCATCTCATAAA